TTTTTTTCTGCAGAAGCATGAAAGCCGGTGGCAGTCCCTTCCGGATCGTGAGTGGCGGAGGTCACCGGACAGTGGGCTTCATCCGAGGGCGGTTGGAACTTGATATGTCGGGCACCGGCGAGAAAATCTGTATTATTACAACCAACGTGCAACGACTCGAGTTGGGCGAGATGCAGACGGCTAAGGGCAGAGAGTGGTGGGGTGTGGTCTTGAGCCATTGATCGTGTCACGAGGGGAGAGAGAAAGAGGACGATTGGGGTTAAAAGGGCAAGGAACGGACTGTATATAACACGATTATGTTATGTATATGTGCACGAATGATATACTTACAGTATATGGGGCTGGAACCTGTAGTTGTTTTTAAGACTGTATGTGTTGTTTATATATTGTATATGTTGTGTATATAGATAGTATATTTTTTAGTATGTGTTATGTTATTTTTTGTATATTGTATATGTTGTGTATATATGTAGTATATTTTCAGTATATGTATCCATAGACACAATCACATATATGTATATGTATAGGGTTATGTTAAGTATATAATCAGTATTTTTTTTCATAACATATCAGGTTGAGATTAAGGTACGAGAGAGAGAGAGAGAGAGAGAGAAGAGAGAGAGAGAGAGTATTTTCAGGGATGATATTTTGTTATTAATGGTTTTCTCAATCATGGTATTCATTTAATATGGAGCAACCCTTCAGTTACGGAATTTAGTTAGGAAACTATATATCAATGCAGTGTTTTGGTATCTAGCAACTACATAATTATTTTGCTTGAATTTCGTACATGCACAAATAATTTTAAAATTATGTAAACATGCAATTTTTTATGTTTAATAACGGTACATATGCAAATAGGCCTATTATCTTTTACCATTCAAATTTCCTATCCTTGGGCCAAATTGTAGGCCCATTTTCATTGCCACATTCTCACAAATAGTCAAGGTATCAATTTGTTCTCATGAAAATATACAACTCTCTTTCCCTATTGACCACACTCTAAACGTGAGTAAATACTTTTAAGTACAAACTATCAAGTCAAACTTATTAATTTAATCTGTCTAACCATCAAATTATTTTAATAATAATAATAATAATAATAATAATAATAATAATAATCTATATCTATATATATAATTGCTAGCATATGAGCATTAAATTAAACCTATTAAATTATACCTAACTGACATTTCTACGATCTTCCCGCGTAAATCAGTTATTATTCAATCATTTTACGTTTTTTATTTTTTAATACAAAAACAGATCAATTTTGGAAAAAATTTGACTGTGTTAAAATTGACAATAAATATCATTGATTTTCTTCATTATTCTCTCGTTATATGTTGAAAACAAGCCCAAATTTATTTTACAATATAGATTAATTGCTACAATTATCAATAAAATCTTTTACTCTAAAAAAGATTTTATTTACTCATTTTTTAATTTATCGTAAATTAATAAAATTAAAGAAGAACAAAAAGTGAATAAATATCAGAATACAACACAATATAAAAACAAATTAATTATAAAAATTATTGCACAAGCCCCTTTTCCTTAAAAGTGTAAATTAGTCTTGCAAAAAAAATAAAAATAAAAATAAAAATAAAAAATAAAAAATTAAAGACCAAATAATAATATATCACCAAATGAATTATTTATAACTATTGAATGGAACAGTTCCAAATATGAAATGGGGCAAGAACAAACAATCAAAAAATATAATATTTAAGATAAAGATGTGCAAATTAGACGTATGAGTTTAATACCTAATAATTTAAAATAAGTATAAACATTAGACATATGAGTCTAATACATAATATAGTTATTGTTATATCACAAATGTTTTAATATTTGCTAAATATTATTTTGTGACAACTTTTTAATATACAAAGTTTGACATTATCAAAATTATACATGTTGTATATGAAAAGTGTAAAAAATAAATTGCAAGGTATAATTTAACTATATCAATTTAATTATTGTATGTGCGTTATATGATTTGTCTACGGTAACACCTTAATTCCAAAGACCAACAATCCCTAATATTTAGTATTCGAATGACATTTTTTACAGATACGAGTGATATGATTTTTTTTTTCCAAATTTTGTGGTCAACATGTACATGATTGGTTATTACTAAGCTCAACAGTCATGTCCTCGAATGTAGAATTTTGACCAGTGACAGAGCTGGTGACAAGGTTCATATTTTTATGCTCACAATCAGGGGCAGATCCTCATAAGGACCAGTGTGGGCCTAGGCCCACACTGAAAAATAAAAAAAAATACTACCTTATATATTCTACTCAAAAAGAGTTTAATGCTCAATTAATAAAATGAATAAATAAATAAATAAAAACAATGGAACACAAAGAAGGGGAAAAAAAGAATGGGAAAAAAACATTGTTCTTGTTTATTTTGGTGAAAGTGAATCTAGTCTTTTATTTTATTAGATTTGATAACAAAATTAAAAATTTAAACTTGTAGTTAATTTAATGTTGTTTCTTAATAGACAACATATTTAAATTTGTGTGTGACTGATAAATTGTACGGCTCTTAAAAGTTTGATATATTAGATAAAACATTTTACACATTATGATTTATCTTTTCTATCCATTTTTAGAGAAATATTCTTATAAATAGTCTTGACGAAAAAGTACATGTGAAAATATTTCAAAATTAGCTACTTTTATTCCAAATATACTTGACGTAAATCATAATATTGTTAGACCGAAAAAAAATGTAAAGACCTTAATGTAGAGTCGTACCAAGCTATGAAAACTCATAGGAATTTCTATTAATGTCTATTTTGTATTTATACTTTATTATAGGGTATTATATTTTAAAAATAAATAGGCCCCCATTGATATTATGATCTAGATCCGTCCCTGCTCACAATCATACCATATGATCTGAGGGTACCTTTCAAGTTTCACTGTTTCAGCGCAGACAGTTCTCGCTCATGATTTTCTATGTTATGACAATCAACAAGAGTCAAGGGCAGTCTCTGTCGTATTTCGGCCTACTATGAAGAGCCATGTATTTAGTTATGGGCAACTATACGTGACATTTTCTAGAGTTACGAGTCGGATGTTTTTTTTTACTCCGAAACAATAAATTTTATAGCTACAAACCAATGTACAATAGGGAGAGCTGATTAGCCAAATACACAATCACAAGGTTGAAAGCGAGGAGCACTAAGGCGCCCTAGAAACAAAGAAAACATGTACTGCTTGGAGGTTAACAAGCCCTGGCTAATGAAATAGCATACATACTAGTGATGTTTCCCAACTGGCATAAGACTCCTACAAAAGGAACTAAACCAATCAGCATAGAGATAGATGATTTTGAGATAATGATTTATAGTAATGGACTTTCTGATAGTACGAAAACTACGACCGTTGTATATAAATAAGTGTATAATAATATTTATTTTTCTTTCTTAAAACTTTATCCACAATGATTATGTTATATTTTTGTACTGTTGTTTTTAATTTTTATTATAATTTTCTCTATCATATAGCTTTCCGTGCAAATGCACGAGTTAAAACTAGTATATATAATTACTAGCTCATGCATTTAATAAAATATTTAATAAAACCTATTTTCATTTCCCTCCAAAATGAGTTACATTTTTTTAATTAATTACTCACTAAATGCTAAAACCGTTACACCGTAATATATATATATATATATATATATATATATTATTTATTTTTTGGATCAGTTACTAAATTAATTCTAATTTTGATAGCAAAATATTTAAATGTGCAACGGCTAATGTTGGAACTTAAAGTTGATTGTCACATTCAGAACTGTAACCGCTATATTTAGTTGTATTGTTGGAAGAAAAATATGATTTGCACATAATTTTTTTTTTCTAAAAATCAGAAACACCAATATTTTTTTATGTTAATTTTTCTTAATATATGCCACATATATATAAATTATTTTATTCATGTTACTAATGTAAACATTGCATGGTTAAAAAAAAAAATTTAAATCTCAATTAATTTTGAATGATAAAAATAACTTAAGAAAAAGTAATAATTTTTATATGATAGAAATACATGTCTAATTAATAAATACAAACAAATCGTGTTTTATATCTGTGTAAATGCACATGATCAAATAATAATAATAATAATAATAATAATAATAATAATAATAATAATAATAATAATAATAATAAAATGGGTTTGCAACAACATTCAAAACCCGCCACTTAATAATAAAGAGGAGGTGAAGCGTGATTGGCGTGGCAGAATTTTGAATCACCTTTTGGTTTGACTGTTGACCAGATTCAGAGATGAAAAAAATGTAGGAGGCATTCCAATTAATAAGTCGGTGTTATACATAAGTGGAATTTTACCACTTTTAAAAGTTATCATTATAATTATTATATTATATCTTGTATTGAAATGTGTGCCCATATTTGTCTATAAAAGGGCATAATTTGTAGTGTGATTGATGTACGAAAAACAGAAGAAAGTGAAAGAAAGTCTGTTATAATTATATCCGGTTTTTACATTGTGTTCTTTATATTCCCCGTATTTCATAACAGTCGGGTTTATAATAGTGTTAAGGAAAAATTTCAAACGTGTAGTAAACAAAAAATAATTTAATTAAAATATATTTAAAATTTAACATTAATTCAGTAATTTTTTTTGTATAATGATTGATTTGAGAATAAATTTGATCGAAATTTGACGTGCTAGGTACTTGTGTTTATATGAAAATTGAATTTTCAGCCAAAAATTATGAACATAACAGTCATTTTTTTTTTTTTTTTTTT